GGGGAGGGGGGGGGCAAAAATATCATGGGCTGAGATAAAGACAGTTTAAAAGGACAGAAAACAAAGGGAAAAAATACTAATGATAAAAGAACTTATAAGGCAGTTGATGCACTATACAATTACTTACCACTTGCTGACCGATGCCCAGTCAGAACCTAAGCAGTGGCAGCCCTCCCTGGCCAACTCCCCCCCAGCTTTTATTGCTGAGCACAACACCACACAGTATGGGACATCCCTCTGGCCAGCTTGGGCCAGCTGTCCTGGCTGTGTCCCCTCCCAGTTCTTGGTGCACCCCCAGCCTCCTCGCTGGCAGGGCAGCACCAGAAGCTGAAAAGTCCTTGGTTCTGTGCGAGCACTGCTCTGCAATAACTAAATCATCAGTGTGTTATCAGCATTATTCTCATCCTAAATTCAAAACACAGCACCACACCAGCTACTAGGAAGAATATCAACTCTATCCCAGCTGAAACTAGGACATCCCCATACCCACGGTTGAAGTTTTGGTGGCAGTTTTCCTTCTATCACCAACGATTTGCAACCCAACTACCATGTGGTCGCTATGGCCAGGATGGCCTTATCACCACTCCACCCACAAGGCCCTCTCTGTGTACAAACAACAGCAGATCTAGGAGGGCACCTTTCCTCATCGGCTCCCTTAGTACCTGTACCAGGAAGTTATCACCAAGGTGTTTTAGGAATCTCCTGTTCCTATCAGCTGTGTGGTATTCCCAGTTAACATTTGGCATGTTGAAGTAATCCATAAGGACAAGGGCCACTCATGGAGCAGTTTCTTTTAGTTCTGTATAACTCATCGGTGTCATCATCCCATCCGGGTGGCACGTAGTAGACTGCCCCAACAATACCTCGAGAGCCTTTATGGCTCTCTACATTAGAGAATCTTTCGATGTTGTAGAAGTTGAGGCTGGGAATGACAAGGTCGAGTCCGTTTGGGTTAGGATCAGCGGGAAGGCCAACAAGGCTAGCGTCCTGGTCGGGGTCTGCTATAGACCGCCGAACCAGGATGAGGAGACGGATGAGGAGTTCTACAGGCAGCTGACAGAAGTTGCGAAATCGTCGGTGGTTGTTCTTGTGGGGGACTTCAACTTCCCTGACATATCCTAGAAGCACAACACAGCCCAGAGAAAGCAGTCTAGGAGGTTTCTGGAGAGCGTGGAAGATAGCTTCCTGACGCAGCTGGCTAGTGAGCCTACAAGGGGTGGTGCCCCACTAGACCTTCTCTTCACAAATAGAGAAGGACTGGTGGAGGATGTGATTGTCGGGAGCTGTCTTGGGCAGAGTGACCACGAAATGGTGGAGTTCTCTATTCTTGGCGAGGCCAGGAAGGGGACCAGTAAAACCGCTGTATTGGACTTCCGGAGGGCTAACTTTGTACTGCTAAGGACACTGGTTGTAGCCTTGGGAGGTGGTTCTAAAGGGCAGAGGAGTCCAGGAAGGGTGGGCGCTCTTCAAGAAGGAAATCTTAATGGCGCAGGTACGGTCTGTCCCCACGTGCCCAAAGACGAGCCGGAGGGGAAGAAGACCAGCCTGGCTGAACAGAGAATTGTGGTTTGAGTTTAGGAGAAAAAAGAGGGTTTATAATCTTTGGAAAAGAGGGCGGGCCACTAGGGAGGACTATAAGGATGTTGCGAGGTTGTGCAGGGACAAAATTAGAAAGGCCAAAGCTCATCTGGAGCTCAATCTGGCTACTGCCGTTAAAAATAACAAAAAATGTTTTTATAAATACATCAACACAAAAAGGAGGACTAAGGAAAATCTCCATCCTTTACTAGATATGGCGGGAAACTTAGTTACAAAAGATGAGGAAAAGGTGGAGGCGCTTAATGCCTTCTTTGCCTCAGTCTTTAGCGGCAATACCGGTTGTTCTCTGGATACCCAGTACCCTGAGCTGGTGGAAGGGGATGGGGAGCAGAATGTGGCCCTCACTATCCAGGAGGAAATGGTTGGCGACCTGCAACAGCACTTGGATGTGCGCAAGTCGATGGGGTCAGATGGGATCCACCCAAGGGTACTGAGAGAAGTGGCAGAGGAGCTGGCCAAGCCCCTATCCATCATTTATCAGCAGTCCTGGCTATCGGGGGAGGTCCCAGTTGACTGGCGGCTAGCAAACGTGATGCCCATCTACAAGAAGGGCCGGAGGGCAGACATTAAGATATGAAGATATGAAGACATGAAGATATTAATGAGGAGCCAGTCCTCATTAATATCTTCATCGATGATCTGTATGAGGGCATTGAGTGCACCCTCGGTAAGTTCGCAGATGACACCAAGTTAGGTGCCTGTGTTGATCTGCTCAAGGGTAGGAAGGCTCTGCAGGAGGATCTGGATAGGCTGCACTGATGGGCTGAGGGCAACTGCATGAAGTTCAACAAGGCCAAGTGCCGGGTCCTGCGCCTGGGATGCAATAACCCCAAGCAGAACTACAGGCTGGGAGATGAGTGGTTGGAAAGCTGCCACGTGGAGAAGGACCTGGGAGTGATGGTTGATAGTCAGCTGAATATGAGCCAGCAGTGTGCTCAGGTGGCCAAGAAGGCCAACGGCATCCTGGCTTGTATCAGAAACACTGTGACCAGCAGGGCTAGGGAGGTGATCGTCCCCCTGTACTCGGCTCTGGTGAGGCCGCACCTCGAGTACTGCATTCAGTTTTGGGCCCCTCGCTACAAGAAGGACATCGAGGTGCTTGAGCAGGTTCAGAGAAGGGCGACGAAGCTGGTGAGGGGCCTGGAGAACAAGTCCTACGAGGAGCGGCTGAGGAAGCTGGGCTTGTTCAGCCTGGAGAAGAGGAGGCTCAGGGGCGACCTTATTGCTCTCTACAGGTACCTCAAAGGAGGCTGTAGCGAGGTGGGGGTTGGCCTGTTCTCCCACGTGCCTGGTGACAGGACGAGGGGGAATGGGCTTAAGTTGCACCAGGGGAGTTTTAGGTTGGATGTTAGGAAGAACTTCTTTACCGAAAGGGTTGTTAGGCATTGGAATGGGCTGCCCAGGGAGGTGGTGGAGTCACCATCCCTGGAGGTCTTTAAAAGACGTTTAGATGTAGAGCTTAGGGATATGGTTTAGTGGGGACTGTTAGTGTTAGGTCAGTGGTTGGACTCGATGATCTTGAGGTCTCTTCCAACCCAGAAATTCTGTGATTCTGTGAATACCTGCTTTATCGGTTTGTCCCTTAATCCTTACCCAGAGGCTCTCAAACATATCATCATCATCTGCAAGCTCGGTACAGCTTAGCCCCTCCGTTACATGCAGCACCACCACCCTGCCTCACCTGCCCTGACTATCCCTTCTGAAGAGCCTGTAACCATCCATCATGACATACCAGTCACAGGACTCTTCCCACCAGATCTGCTTACACCAACAATATTCACAGAATCACAAAATCATCTAGGTTCGAATAGACCTCCAAGATCACTGAGTCCAACCTCTGACCTAACACTATCCACTCGATCCCCTCATCCAGGTCATTGATAAAAATGTTAAAGAGGACTGGCCCAGTACTAAAACCTGAGGAATGCCACTAGTGACTGGCCTCCAACTGGATTTGGCTCTATTCCCCACAACTTTCTGGGCCCGGCTATCCTGCCAGTTTTTAAACCAGTGAAGCGTATGCCAGTCCAAGCCCCAAGAAGCCAGTTTCTTGAGGAGAATATTGTGGGTAACAGTGTCAAAAGCCTTACTGTAGTCAAGGTAGACCACATTCACAGCCTTTCCCTCATCCACCCAGCGTGTCACTTTATCATAGGAGATAGGTTCGTCAAGCAGGAAAATGTTGTGGCTCTGGGACTGAGCCATGGCTCCGAGCTCCTCTTGCTTGTCCCTCACGCTGTGTGCGTTGGTGTAGAAACACTTCAAATCTGCTCCGAAGTACCTGGCACCTCACAGAGCTGGCTGATGGGCCTCACTGTTACACAGGCCTTCAAATTTTGGCGTGCTGTCATATAGCGTATCACCAGAGAGGCTATTTTTATCCCCTTCCCCCTTCAAATCTAGTTTAAAGCTCTATTGATCAGCCCTGATAACTCCTGTGCAAATATCTTTCAAAAATCTTTTAAAAAGCAATGCAAAGAAAATATCCTGAACATGCTCAGAGCAGGAAAGGACTGCTCACTCGAAATAGAAAAAGATTGTTTGGGTTTTGCACTCTGCTAGGCTGAGATTTGTTTGTTTGTTTTATGGCCAAGTCTCATAAGATACGGAGCAGATAGTTCCCTCACCGAACAAAATGTCACTCTGATGCTCACTGAATCCAGGCCTGGAGAGCTGAGCCTGAACACTGATGCACTTGAGCTGTACTTTCAGGCAGGATGCATGGCACCATTGCATGCATGCAGAACGCCGAGGGCAGATTTACTTTAGACGAAGTATGAAAATTCAAGGGACAAAGTGGCACCACATGCTGAGGCTATGAGGCCGTCGAGCACCAGAGCTAACCGCACACCAAGTGCCACTCGATAAGTGGAGTCACTGGTGCAGAGCCCTGGAATAGCCACGGCTGGTGAACTCGGGTAGAAGAAAAACTGCCTGTAGCAAGAGCTTCAGCTCAGCACTTCCAATCTGAGCCAGGACTGAAAAAAATAAGACAAGAATCATATTTTTGCAGCTCTTACCAATAAAACAGCCCCCACCACTGCCTCCTCCAGATGTTGTTAAGCACTGAACAACAAAGCATAGAGGGATGGAGGGAGTGAAACAGGAACCTTCTGTAATTTAAAGCAGACATCTCCAGAGCTGTGAGTGTTAACAGGCAGCATCCCAAGTAACCTGAACTGAAATCATAAGACATGCACTGCCACAACTAAACATACCCCTTCAACTTGAAGGAGGTTTTCTTCATGTTAAGTTAGCTGCTTTCACTACATGCGTTTACAAAATATATGTTGCCTGCACATCTAATAGCTGAAAGAGATTAAAAATCTGCCAAAATTAGAAAGGAGCAAACAAAACAAAAAGACTATTTGTTTTAAGCAAAATATCCAAAACACTCCACATTTTGAATTCAGAAAGAAAGTGCTTTATTATGTTTAATAAACAATTTGCATCATGAAGAAACTTTTTGCACAATGATTTTTGGATTTCTTAGAAATTATTCTAAATAGGTAATTTGTCTATCCACTGTTATGGTCTCCTTTAGACTTCTAATGTAGATGCTTCCAGTTTACCAGTGCATATAAAGACAATACAAACATTTAGTAGTAGCAAGCTTGTTTTTAACATTTGCTTCTTCATTCCCCTTGAATATTTGGTTTTACATGACATAGCAAACATTTTCTTCCAGTAGCTAGAAAGTTTACCAGAGAACTCCCTTTGAGCAAATTATTTTTTTTTTTAATTTTTTTCTTAGGAAAACATTATACTTTGCAAGGCCTTCAGATGAACTAGGCCCACTTTAACCAAACAATTTTAAATTTGAAGCATGAACCACTTAGTCTGCACAGCAATCTGATGCAATTTTATATACCAAAAAGTCAAACATTTGGACAAATAATCCAAATTTCTGGATCATGATTCTTCCTAGGTGTTGCAGGACAATTCTGGGAACCTGAGCATGACCTAACATATACTTTTCAGACACCCTGCTGAAGGTCTTTCATCTGTAAGTGATGCCTCTACATTCAAGTTAAATTTGAACAAACAAAGCTTTGAACACATTCTCAGGCAGTTTTTTATTGGTTGTTTACAAATTGGAAGATTCCAGTACTGAGGCCAGCAATAGACAAGGAGGGAAAAAGCCCAACAGCTGCTTCTTTCTTAACTCAACACTACTGGGTAAGCCTGGAATCAAACTAGCAAGAGCACTTCCAGATTTTGCCCCAGAAGCTGGAGTAATCCTCTTTACAAAACACTGTTCTTAAGGGATTAAACGAAGACCTGCACGCTGTGCTATACTGTACTGTCCAGACTGAAACAGAACACAGACTGGTTTAAGTACCTGCAGTTGCTGCAGAGTGAAGCTACTGATAACACCCTCAAGAACAAGTCTGATATTATTAGGCAGTAAAACTCACCCTTCTGCTGGTCTGCTTCCTCCCCCAGCTGGGAATATGAATGTCTTCATTTATACTTTGTCTGAAATGTACCTACATCCCCTAAAGATCCTGGAACAACATTAAGGGCAGCATTAACTCTTTATCATCTGGAGTACTGGGTAGTTACAGATCATTCAGCACTGGTTTCTAATAGAGATATGGAAAAATTATAGTGCTTCTTGGAAGAGAATGAAGTGTCCCAGTGAGCATGCCTGTAAGCATATGTTCAGCATATGTTCCTTGTCACATTTTCCCCAATCCTGCTGATGGCAACTGCAGGGACTATAGAGTTTTACTACAAAAAATAAGGAGCTGTACTAACCATGCTTCTACCACTTTTCACCAATATCCAATTGTTGGCGTTTCCTTGTACTCCTCAGTTTGGAACTGCATCATCTGAATTCTCATGAATATACCAATGTCAGCTGCTATCCATTCTTTGTTCTGCTGCACTCCAAAAACTACACTAGAGTGTATCCCTCAAAATAAAACAAGTGTTACTGTCTTTGACCACTATTTAAAGAAAAAAAAAAAAAAAAAAGATATATTTGTAAGGAATGACACTGATGACAGCAATAATCTAAGCACTAAGGAAGAGCTACTGTAATGCTTTCTCAATCACTCTTCCTTTCCAAGAGCTTCATTCAAGCTAATAGTTACTGGAAGAAACTAATTGTTTTATGACTGTTTGGACACGATCCCTTTTATATTATTCCCACTGCAGGAATCACATGTCTATCCAAGAGCCACAGAAGAGATTTGCACAGGTATTAGTACATATCCACAGATCAAAATCTTAACTTCCTGCACTCTAAGAGTAACTTCAGTATACAAAAAAAACTTTAAGGGACATATAGTATTATTTAGAGAAATACGTTCTAGAAACTAGTCTTTTCTCCTTTAGAACATTAAGTATAGCATAACCTACTGAAACAAGTACAAACGCTAGAAACATTCTTTAATTTCTGAAATAGCTTCATTGGAGTTATCTTAATTGAAAAATACATTTGAATACATGGCTATTAGGTAGGTAATGTTCTTACTACTTTGTTCAGATTTAAGACTCCAAAAGAAAAATATTTTAATTACAACTGTTTTAGGAAAGTAAACCCACCCCTTACATATAAGAAAAAATAAATACATCTAATAGTGAGAGGGTGTGCATGAAGGAGAAAGTGCAGGAGACCTACTTAATACAGTGGAATTTAAGCAGAACTTGAAGGAAACAGCTGCCCAGCTTTTATGGATTCAGCCTCTTAGAAATTAAGAATATCGTGTATTGAAGTTCCAAAGTTCATATACTTATTCAGGACCTAGTCTTAAAAATAGTATTAGCATTTGTAAAAAAAAGTCCAGGTATCAGCAATATAACAGTATTTCTGATAGTATGAAGAAAGTTTATATAGAATAAAGGGGTAAGATAGCGTTTCTCGGTGAAACTTATTTCCAGTGAAACCAAACTGTACTGTTGTCAAAGAAGATCTTTGCATTTGATGTAAAAAAGACATCCATTACAGTCAGTCATTAGCAAATAGATCAGTTGTGAAAAACAGATAAGCATAACTTCAGTAAGCTACAACTGCACTGCAGTTGCAGAAACTTAGAGAGGCAGTGCCACATTAATTATCTGTTTGGACAAATTTATCATAATACAAGCTTCAGACTTTAGAAATTTAAAGTATTGCAAACCTAAATAAGTTTATAAATTCTAGCATCTTCTTCTTAAACTTAAATATATAACATATGAAGTATTTTACATGTAATATTTTATATATAATTGTTTTTTCTTTTTTTTTGTAATTTAACAGGCAAAGTTAACATTTTTATTTTGGCGAAGGAGACTTCATTTCAGATGCTAGAGTTTGGAGCTCTTGTAACATTCTGAACAGAAGATGGAAGATTCATTATCAGATAGAAAGGGAGCAGTTGTAGCAGCTGTTTAAGGATCCACGGGTGCAAGCACGTGGCGACAAATAGGGCATGTTCCCGACTACAAGAAAGAGAGGAAAAAAAGTGGGTCATTCACATAGTTTGCATTCAGTTTCATTGAAAAGCTGAAGTTTATGATCTACAAAGTATTAAATGTCTTAACAACAGTACTGTCTCAAAGCCACACTTGACAGGACAGATAACTGGAGCTAAGAAATCTCGTATCTCTGATGAAAGGTGCATTTTGTTCTTATACCAGGTATATGAAAGTTACATCAGACTCGAGCAAGGTCTTCTTCAAAGTGAGGATTTTACATTTGGGAACTCTTATGTTTGCCCCATTACTCCAATGAAAAACTTAGCACAACCCAAATCTAACAAAAGTATTACATCATAGTCATCAGCAAGAGCAGTTTACTGTGGCAGCAGAAAAAAGTAAGGTGTAATACAAGCAATATTTACCTTGAAATCAACACTGTCATGGTACAAAAAATATAAACTCACCAAGAATTCATGCTACAGGTCATCTGATCTCCCTAGTCTGAATTAATTAGCCTTTTTTGTTTAGTTCCTGAGGAAGTGATGCATTACCTTGTATGCTCAGCACTATTTCTAACAAACTATTTGAGAGCCATCAAGTCCAGGTTCATTCTGTCTGTAAAGCAGGGTGCAAGTGTGTGGACAAAAATACTAGTAAATCAATTACAGTTTTTAGTCTCATCTCAGCATGATGCTCAATATTTTGAGGGAAAAACTAATTACAAATGATTAAAAAATCTAATGCAATTGGTTTACTATAGGTTCACATTGTAAATTAGTCTACATGTACTCCAGCAGATTCTTACTTCCTCTTTATTTCTTCAAGATTATCTGTTAAAACAATTGGGCCTGACACATTCTGGCAGGACAGGCAGGACAGATACTTGGTTCTCTTCAGAGAAAACCAAGCCATTATCTTCACTTCAAGGAGCGGTATAGTAAAGAAAACTTCTCTTAACCAAGTGAAGTATAGCATCTGTCTTCTTCATTCTTACTGAAAGCAAACCAAGTTTTTCCACACAAAAGTCCTCTCCCATTAAAACACCACTACACTCCAGTCTACATAAATAAGCATTCAGATTTAAGGATTTATAGTAATCAGTTTATTTATACGAATAATATTTACATTATTAACACCCATGCCTAACAAAGGCCAGGTCATTCCCCTTCAGGTGATTATGGATATAAATTAATCTCCTCATTTGCATTAGAGCTTGGTCCCATAGTGCATATAAATAACAGGTAGTTATTTCATGGCATTTCCTCCTACTTTTTCTACAGGTTTTAATAGGTTTCCTACTAGAACACAAGTACTCAAAAAAAAAAACAAACCATCCTGTTTCAATTACCTTCTGTAACCAAAGAGTGACACAGAGCTTGTGAAACAAATGATGACAGGGTAGCTCTGTTATGATTTCATCTTTCACATATTCACTGAAGCAGATAGTACAGCAACACTGGTCTTGACCTACAGCCATGAAATAGAAAAAGCATTAGGTTTTGGGTGTTGTTTTTTTTTTTATTATTATTTTTATTTTTACATCTAACATTAACTGAAGCTAAAAACAATATATACCAGAATTATCAATAATGCAATAATTATGAAATACAATCACACTTACTGAAGATTAATTTTCCAAACTGACCAAGGTTATATTCAGTCTAGATCAAAATTCAAAACCTTACAACAGCCTTGTCAGCTGCATTGTACATTAAAATACTATATCTATGCTAATATAAAAAGCTAAGTTTGTTCTTATAAACTTTACAGAAATTAATTCTTAATTGTTTTGTCCATACCATTACGGTCATCTGTGATGATAATCTGTGGCAGACAATCTATGCTTTCTTTAGGAGCTGGTGGATGCGCCTGTTGATCATCAACTGCAAGAGATTCCAAATGTGCCAGAGCGTTCTGAAAAGGGTGAGCAGAGACCAAATTCTTACTCACTTTACATTTTTCCATATAAAAACAAATAAGAAAAGAAACCCTGTCAGACTAAGCATTACATCATTTTTATTTTTGTAATGAATGAGCTGAAACGGAAGGTCAAAACAGTAACAGCTTGTTTTTAAGACTTCTCAGAATATCAGGACAGACTCACAACTTATTCTGTAATGAATGTTTGCTCGTGTTACAAAATTTCAGAAAAGAGAACAAGTCAAAAATGCAATAAAACTTGCCAGTACATTTCATTACATTTCATGTTCCGGAAGGAAAAGTTTATTAATTTGTTTCTTGGCTTCAACTACAGCATTACTCAGATATGAAAAATATCATGTACCTGGGCTAATGTAAGCATTCTCAATGGAAGCATTCAGGAAAAAAGCAGGATCCACAGAGATGTTTCTCATCTGTGTAAGATAGCCTGCTCTTTGAATTCATCCTGTTTTGAAACTTAAAATCTCGTTTTTCATCATACAAAACCACTATGAATCCAATGCCAAAGCAGGCCAATTTGATGTTTATATCATACATTCAACCACCTAAGACACTGGAAGGAAAAGGATCTTCAGCAAAAAAAAAAAGCATAGCAAGAAAGCAAATATAGCAAATCCAGGTTCTAAGAAATGTACAAGATATTCCTGATGAAGCAATCAATACAGCAGACTAAACAAACTGAAGAGCTACAAACACGTAAGCACTGAGTTCATATCCCTAATGAACTATGCACAGCCCTCAAGTACAACTACTTTCTGTTCTAATCAGGATGAAATGCATTTATTCTAATAGACAAACTTCCAGGCAAGAATTTTAAGAGAAACTGCCATTTTTATAGTGTCAGTGGTTTACCTAATAACTGAAAAACAAACTGAAAAAAAAAAAAAAAAAAAAAAGAAATATTGGGTTACTTTCAAGAGTCTTTCCTCTGGATCTTTACAGAAGGTTATCAGCTGCAGCCTGACTACATATCTGCTCTTGTCAGAGTGGCAAGGTAGCTCCAGCAACCATTCAACCTAACAGCTTTACACCTACAGTCAAATATTTGTGGCAACACAGATCAGCATGAGCTAACAAATACTTCAAGCTCCTACTGCCACAAGTATTCTCACTAGAAATGCCAGTTAAAAGCAAACCATGGAACAGTTCGGTGTGGTGGAGTACACAAGCCTACCTGCAAAACAAGTACCTTCCTCAAATTCAACAGCTTAAAACCGTTCTGTTCTGCCACAACAGACAATGCTGCCTTACTACCATTAGGATAACTTCAGTATTTGCAATGGTATTTTGCTACTGCTGTGAAGGTCTGAGAATAACTTGTAGGTAGTAGTATTGTAGTTAATCTAATTAAATACTACAGCTGGAAAAGCTAGATAAGCTCCAAGGCAGACAGAAGGATGCAGTATTACCTGTGTCAAACCTCTGTGCCTATATCCAATATTAGCACAATAAAACAGAAAACAATTTACATTGTACTGTTTGCTTTTTGAAAGCTACATAACAAGCACCACAGATGGAAAGCCTCACAATGACTTTAAGTGATGTTTAAAACTACATCTTCAAAAAAAGCAAACCAAAGAAAGGTCCATTTTATAACTTTTCTAACTTTAGTTTCAAGGTTTCAGAGATACCCTAATTTTCTCTTATTTCATATGTGACTGTTTACTGCTCCATGTTCCATAAGCCACATGTTGGACACTACTAAAACCAGGGGTGTTATGGGCTACAGATGTGTGAGCACCTCACAGCTATGTACCAGCACAGGAAATACTAAGAAATTAAAACCACTAACAGTGCAGGCACACCCCACCTGCTCTATACTGATACTCTAACACTCCCAGTTAAGCTACTTCTTTAAAAAGTGATAGTAAAAAAAAAAAAAAAAAAAAAAAAAAAAACAAAAAAAAACCATACATAGATCATTAAGGACAAACTACTTAGCAGAACCCAAGAGTCTTATAGAACATGGCTTCTTTTTTGATTGCTTTTAATATGCATTTGCTTTTTCTCCCTTCCAGATCTCACAGTTGTGACAGAATTCTCCCTTCCCTCATCACCCAGGTATAGCAAATTTGTTTTGCTGGATAGTTTTTTGTTTTTTTTTCCCCAGAAAACTGAACTATAATAGACTACAATAACAAGTAATGTCATCACAGGTGAGCTGTCTGGTTGAAGAATTTACTAGTTTCTTTAGGTAACAGAGCTGTGTGGGACTTACAAAGGGGGATTAAGTAAATCAGTAACAGGCTGAATAAGGTCACAGTTTTTGGACAAATTTTTAATGTTTTAATTAAGAACTCAATCCAACCTGTTCACCAAAACAGAGAAAGAGAATGGTTTGGGTTGGAAGGGACCTTCATGACTTTCTAACTCTAACCCCCTGCCATGGGCAGGGACACCTCCCACCAGACCAGGTTGCCCAAAGCCCCATCCAGCCTGGCCTTGAACAACTCCAGGGATGGGGCATCCACAGCTTCTCTGGGCAGCCTGTGCCAGGGCCTCATCACCCTCTGAGTGGAGAATTTCATCTTCATGTCTAATCTGAAGCTAGCCTCTTTTAGTTTTATATCATTACCCCTTGTTCTGTCACTACATTCCCTGGTAAGAAGTCCCTCCCCACCTTTCCTGTGGTACTGGAAAGCCACTTTAAGGTCTTCCTGGAGTCTTCTCTTAGTCTTCTCTTCTTTTTTTTTTTTTTTGCTCACCAGTATCCCCAAGTCCTTCTCCACAGGTCTACTCTCAATTCATTCATCACCCAACCTGACATCATCACCCATCATCACCCACTGACACTGGTGATTGCTCCAGCCCAGATGAAGGACCTTGCACTTGACTTTGTTGAACTTCATGAGGTTTGCAGAAGTCCACCTCTCAAGCCTGTCAAGATTCCCCTTGAGGGTGTCCCTTCACTCCAATTTGTCAGCCATACCACTGAGCTTGTCATCATCCACAAACTTACTGACTACACTCAATCTCACTGTCCATGCTGCTGACAAGTGTTCAGTAATACTGGTCCTAATTCAGACCCCTGAGGAACACCACGTCACTAGTCTTCACCTGGACATTGAGCTACTGATCACAGCTTTTCCAGTGCAAACATAGAAGCAATTCCTTATCCACTGAATAGTCCATCCATCACATCCATGTATCTCCATTTTAGACATGGATGTCATGCAGGACTGTATGAAGTGCTTTGCATAAGCCCAGATAGATGACATCAGTTGCTTTCCTCATACACCAGTGCTGTAAACCCATTGTAGAAGGTCACCAAATTTGTCAGGCAAGATTTGCCCTTTTTGAAGCTATGATGGCTGTCACCAGTCACCTCTATTTTCCATAGCTTGCAGGGAAAGCAAGCTCCATGACCTTGCTGGGCATACAGGTGAGACTGACTGGTGTGTAGTTCCCCAGGCTTTCCTTTCCCCCCCCCCTTTTTAAGCATGAGGGCATTATTTCATCTTTTTCAGAGACACAGTACTTTAAGCTAGTTAAAACTTAGACTTCTGTATTAGGAAACCTCTGGTGCAACAATACCTCATCACCCAAGAAACAAATGGGTTAGTTTAAAGTCACAACAGAAGCAGAGGTGCAGTGAACATCTTGTGTAAGGTAGAATCAGACTAAGCAAGATTTAAATAACACGTTGGCCCTAAAGACAGATCTAAATAACACTAAACACTAAAACACTGTAACTGACAACTAGGTGAAAGTATTTTTGAATACTTGGACTACAAATACCACAACAAGAACAAGTATTCTATTGGAAAGTTGTTATAAATACACAGATAATATGCCTGGGTTCAAACAGGGAAAGTTGTTCATACAGGGAAAGGAAAAACACATGCAAGCAGTAAAATCTGCAAGGTGAAAGCAAAAGATGTACAACAAGCAGGAAAGGTATCTAGTGAACTGGAACCAAATCTCCCTGTAGAATAAGCAAGAAAAATGCCTAGCAAAAACAGAACAAGTCCTGATCTCCAAAATAAAATGCGCTATGTCAAGAACAGATGAAATCACTCCCTTTACTCTTGGGGAGGGAAATGAGAAGTATAGAATCACATGTTTATTCTTCATTACTGGCATTTTAATTCTTGTATCCTTCAGAGCTCTAAAGCCTCATCACCTTGACCTTAGTACCTAGGATATCCTTCATAGTGATCTCTTTACCTGATATACATGTACAGTTAATTGAAACTGCAGAACAAAAATTGTTGTATTACATTTCCTATATAATGAATAAAAAGACTGTATTAAGAAGTATTGCATCAAAAATTGAATTTTCTAGTTTTAGAGAAGATATTTTCAAGAGTCTCTTATTCAAACTTGAAGCCTTCAGTTTGTTCTTCACATCACAAAAATTTATTTATTTTTAAATAAGGTTCTTCCCCACACCACCAAAAAAAAAGTTCTGTATTCCGCATTTTGGATTTCTGACCAAGCACTGTGACCACAGTGAGAAAGATAAGGAAGAGGCTTTGTAACATTATGACATTTATGTCATTCACTGTTCCAGTGAACGATTTCTCATTTTTATATTTGTTGAACGGAATTCTACATTCTACGTCTACAGCTGCCTGATTACCAGGGAAGTTTATTTAGAGGTTGCTGTTCCAGCTTTCACACACAAATTTCTAGTCTTTGTTAATCCAGTGAGAGATAAGGTCACATCATATTTTATTAATACAGATTATATCAGAATAGCCATTCACAAGTCCAGAAAACATTATATCCTACATCTTGCTGTGATTGTTAAAAGATACGATCTCAAACAATCAAAATTAATTCTGGATGGATAGATAAGGTAGTTAATAACCCTTAAGAGAAATGATATTAATTCTGTTTAGTCAAATAAAAATATGAAAATATCAAGAATATCACCTTTAAAAGTTGCTTCTTAAGTCAAAATTTTGAAGAAAGAAGAATACTGATGGATTTGAACTAAAAGGACACACTATATTCAGGAAAGGCAAGGAGCAGATATATTAATCAGCTGTTGCAAGACATCTAGCTATTTCGGGCAACAGATATTCTAGATTTTCTTACAGAGTATTTTGTTTTGTGCCAACAATACAGAAATTGACACACAGATAGTACCAGCACACTTTCTAAAGGATATAGATTGAGAGCATTATATATAAAAACAATTAAGGATCTACCCAAGTATGACACTAATGTAATTCCCCTTACACTCTCAAGACTAGAAACTTCTTATGGAGCAGTTATTTCCTGTTGACTAATTCCAATTATGCCAGACTTCTTATGCTCACCATAAAGTTTCAGAGATTCGAGTGCTAATTTCAAGTAGTAATACTATTTCAGAAAATTGGCTTTCCCTCTTGTCCAATACCCAGAGCGACCTGATCCACAGGCTCCAGAGAATAACTACTTTTGTAGTTATCTAACTGCTTGCCACGCAAGTTCAACGGCGCTCAGTTCCTGGAGACACTAACATAATTACAGCAGCTCCTCATACATATATTCACCTACAGCTGTGTTTACAGGTCAGCCTGACAGAAGTCCACACATTTCTTCTGGCAGAAGAGCTACAGAATGTTGCTGCACAGTAATGAGAAACAAAGTGTCAGATCTGTAATAACCTCAAGTCACCTCTTCAAGTGTTAACATACAGATAAAAAAGGATGGGATTAGTTTCCCCTCTCTACACAGATCCTTTCTTTGGTGTTAAGGAGGAGGTCAACTGCTTCTATAGTTCTCCCTTGTCTGATGTGGTGAGAACTGGCAGCTTATGAAAAGGGCATAGATTTTCCCCATACAATTTCAAAATACTACTTTTACAATAAGGATATCAACAGACACATCGATAAACAGTATTGATACATCTCCAGATAAGTAACACTAACAAGATCCTACAAAGCTGAAGAGGACCCTGTGGTACTCTATCATAAATAATGCTAACCTCCCATATACCTTGAGGGATGCACAATACGTGGAAATTCAATGACTGCCAACTTCAGGGAACAAGCTTTTAATCCCCTTAGAAAATTCACAAAATGTTTGATTTCACTGCTATCTATGAGGAAAGAAAAAAGCTTTATGATTGTTTCCACTGACAGCCAGCTTTAGAAAATATTTTAAAGTGTCCTTGGAATTGTGCCTGCAAGCATCCTATGACACAGCCTGCCCTACTCACCCCTTTTAACTAAAAGCCAGTTGCCAAGCTGCCCCTTGCTGCCCTCTAAACTTCACATAAAAAAAAAAAACATTCAATTTAATTGTTGCAGCACCATATTATGTCTACCAAACACTTAACTCTTATTTTGGAAAATATTCTGCAGGGAAGATTTCTAGCAGTGCAGGAATTGTCACATTGCATCAAGCTGAATTTCAGCTAGCTCCATATTTATTCTGACAGTGACCATCATCATGTAACTCAAGAAAAAACAAACAGGAAAAAAAAGATTGTAACCATGTAACCATGACAGTTTATTTACCCAAAGTATAAAATGAAATCTATTAGTGTAAGGTAAAGATAAACAGGATTTTAAAAATACATATGGAGCCAAGACACCAGAAAAATCTTGTGGTGAAGTATAAAAAATAAGACTTCCATTAAAGCTCTTTAAAAAAAAGCTGGGATAATCTATAGGTACAGATTCATGTATAAACTTTCTTTTGGTATGTAGGGAATTTAGCAACATCTTTAGAGCAATTTACATGATATGTTTATACTTGCAGAAATTACTCTTTTTTTCCTCTAAGAGAAAATAAAGTTCTCAAAGTAGTGCTGATCATAACTTCTTGCTCTGTATCACTTACAACAGCTTTATTTTCAAGTTTGCATATCTGAAAATTCAAGATGGACCGAGAAAGTAGTTTTTTAGTTCTCAGTCAACTTCTGAATAAGAAAAAACTTGTCACAACGCCACTTATATAATACTACCAAGAACACATGTACAATTCCTACTTTTTCCCCAAACACTGATTGAAATAAGGCCTGAACCCTTTCATATCTAGATTTTAAAAAAAGAGAATCTGAAACTTAATGACCTGAATATTTGCATACTAAAAACAAAACAAAACACAAGAACAAAGGGCTCTGGTTTTATTTCACACAAAATTAAATTGCTGTGTTTTAATACCTCCATAGCTTGTGCTAAGCGTTCCTCTAGTGCCACATACGTGATAAACTGGGGGTCCACAGATGAAATGGCTTGAGCAACTCCTAGGCCTTCATTAAACTCATCCAGCAGTCTGTAGAACATGAGTTAGGAAGCATGGTTAACATTACAAAGTTAATATAACAAGATGAGGGCTGGGCACATTAAGTTGTTGCACATCACCTGTTAATGAACGCGTATTATCTCACAAGGTGGTTATGGAGGCAGCTCTGACCTTGGCTGGCTGCCAGACACCCACCCAGACAGCTCTCATCTTGGCTGCAGGGCCCAGCTGGAACCAGCATCACCACTATCAGTGTCTGCACCCAGCACAGTGCTACAGTCACAGCAGTGCAGACCTCAGATGAATTTGAGGTGAGCTTTGCTCTGAAGTGCTTGACAGTCAATTTGTTATATTATTAAGTAGAAGAGAAGCAGCTTTAAATCTGACTGAAAAACACTCCCTCTAGCTTACTTTCACTTTAAACCAAACCAAACATTATTCGAGGATTAGGCTTTGCAAGCGGCTTTGATTGCTTTCTTCCTACTATTTGCAGGACTTCTCTAATTGAGAAGAATAATTGCAATAAAAATTATTGCAATTGATGAAGATTGATTGATGCAATTGATGAAGAATATTGCAATAATGACACAAGATTGACTGAAATATTCAAAATTATGATGTTAGGTAAGCAAATATCGTTCCAAAGAGAAACAAAAAGTACAGTATCTGAATTGTACCAAGTGCAAAACAGGAAAAGACCACAGTTAAAATGCTTTACTGACTTGAATGTTGACTACATTCATATTACTTTACTTTCTTTTATACTTCCACTACTCTTATCTTGAAAAACCAATTGAATAAGTATACCCATCCATCTTAGCGCACCAGAATTTTCTCAGATAAGACTGATTTAGCAGATCTACATTCTTCTTCCTTCATTAAAGGAAACATAACACTTGCAGTACCTTAAAACTTAAAAATCAGATTATCAGCTTTTGAAGCATATGCGTACTGATAGCCACATGTATTTTGACGTCTTTCATGATAAAGAAAACAGTAACTACAAAACCTTCAAAATTAATGCAGAAAACTACAAGAGGCATACACACCTCCACTCCACATCCAGGTCCTCACTCACACTGGAGTCATCCTCAAGGTTGTTGTTTCCATCCAAAATAAATAAGCCAGGATGCACAAATTCACTAACTAGATGATTTTCCTCATCACTGCTACTTTCTTCAGGGTACTGTAAAAAAGGAAACTCCACTTCCTCCAAAGGTGGGAGTTCCCTTCAAACAAATAAAAGTGTTTTTTTTCCCCTTTCAAAAAAATCAAAGAGCTAATACTAAAAAGTTAGGAGAACTTACAAATATATACCAGTGGGTACACATATTACAGATTATAATTTACAAATATATACAAGAGGGTACACATTTTACATCAACAGCTGAAGCTGCATTTCACAGACTACAGAGTCCTAGACTGGGGATTTAATGTTGGCTGTGGGGAAAAAAAGTCCTAGTGGTATCAACTAACCCATACAGACTAAGAACTTAGTAAGATACATGATTCTGTGGCAAAATTATTTTTGTAATACTCAAGGCCAGCAGCATAGTAAGGGGACTTGCTTTGCATTTTCTCCAGTACAGGCAGTATCCCTGCCACAGCTGATTCGGTACCAACTTCCTTATTCATCTAAGCTCTTAAGGCAAAAAAAATAAACGCTCTCTCAACTCCCTAGAACAGCCTTCCATGGGGAAAGCTTGGCCTAAATGCAGAGATATTATTTGTAAGAGAAGACACGTACGTGAGGAGAAAGGTTTCTTTTTCTTTGATTCTCTAGAGGAGCACAAGTCACCAGGATGTTTAGAACCACAGCACTGCAAATCCTACTTTCCTGTTTATTTGTCTTCTGATGAGGAATCATTTTAGAAATGGGTATATTTGCAGGCTATTCACACACAGAAAGTTAAAGGATAAACAGCTCCATTGCTGCTGTTCTGAAACAGATTACTTTTCATAAAGCCATGCTAATTTTTCAAACCTCAGGAGACAGCAATACTAGCAAGGCAGTAATAAATCTGGACTGCTTGGTGCTGGATACCATCTGCCTAAGAGTAGAAGCAGGAGAAAGAACACTTAGGCATGACTTGTTGCACTACAAGCACTCAAACTAAGAATCAAAGGTCAGTATTAGATGCCTAGAAATATTTTCCTTGCCTATTTATAGCTACAAGTTTTGTCTTGCAACATTGGCAGACACTTTAAAAAACATGCAATGAATGATTGGAAGTATTTGCTTGCTGAGAGCTTACAGTTTCTTTTTTTTTTTTTTTCCAGTGTACTTTAATCACTGATAGGGCTGCAGAAATAAGAAGTAGCAGTTCCATTCACTGGATTATGAAAAGCAGGGACAAACAGTTCTGCAAGGAGTACTATGCAGTATCAGAAGATGTATAACGTATGCCTCTTTACAATTAGCTTGTCTTACCTGGCATTTTAAAGTCAGTATATCTAGCCTGTTATCCTTATAGGTGCTACTTTTTCCTCATTATTGGAATGTCAGTGCCCTCTTATTATTTCTGTACCTTTCATAAAATAGTCAGTATTGTTTGTATGACAGGTCATTTTTCGTTTGATTTTAAATGAGTAACTACTGTGGTTATTATGATGTAAGCAAGTGATTACTGCTAAGATAGTGAGCACCTTTAGAATTTATTTTATTCTATCCACAGTCACATGGCTACTGTGTTACTGATGATGTCAGAGCTGACAGGAACAAGTTACTTAGTGAAATAAAAACATACCTTCCACCTAAACCAGAGCCTATATACACTTCTACCTCTTCAGGCTCACGTTCCTCCCTGCCTGGGAGCGTCCCCCAGCTCTCATCACTTACGGACTTCGCTGCAGCAGCAAAACAAAAAGGCCCAGATGCAGACCATTCTCCATCACTACATTCTGAGCTGCAATATAAACAAAGCAAAGTGTTAATTTAACCAATGCGTTAGTGGAAAGAAAACAAACATACAAACATTGTGTCCTCCTGCTTTTGTACAAAGCTTTGTTGTCAGTGTAGGCTACTTTTCTACGATAATTTTTTGGTATTTATAAATGTATTAGGTATATAATTAACCCACCAGCAGAACAGATGAATGGTACTAAATTTTTCCAGGTACAATTCATGCTGCATTTCACCCACTGAAGTTGAACGTTGATGTTTTTGTACTTCCCCTTCTAAAAGATCAACATACTGTAAGGCTAACCCAGAGACTGAGAACTGTCCTTTTTTAAAAAAATAATCTAGTAATGATTTCCAACACAGATTATAGTAATATCAATTATGTTGGTAGTCAACTTTGTTCCAATATTCTGCCTATAAAATTCTCATTAAAGTTAACACACATACACTAATTCAAAATAGAAAAAAGGTTATGTCTACAGTCATTCAGAACACACAATGCAAGAACTTTGCATGCGTATATTTCAAAACTTAGGATTTAACTATGCCAAATTCTACAAAGATGCAGAGCTTCCCTTAGTGATTATTGAGTTACATATAGACTTGTCACTTGCCAAAACATGACATGTTAACTTAGCACGTGGACTTTCTGGAAGCAGACCTTCTAGCCAAACTGGCCTGTCCTTGCCACATGATCCCAGCACTACAGGGTGGGAGGTAAAGGACATGCTCCTTGTTCTATCACCCTTGCCCTCCCTAGGGACCCACCACGACCCTCCCAGTTCAGCACACACATGTATCTAGCAACTAGGCAAGGCTTCCTCTTCCTCATACAGTCTATACATGCTATCACCACAACAGCTGGGCATTTCCTCAAGGGATAAATGAGAGCTGAAGCCCCATGCTGCAGCCATCAGGATGGTGAACTTCTCTCCGGGTTGAAAAGTGAATCTTGAGTTGCACGATATAGTCTGACATGCCAGCTCTGCTCTTTATACAGCTACATATACATTTTTGAACACTTAAATATGGACTAACCATTTAAACACAAAATTTCACCTTGTAAAAGTTGAAAAGTCTCAGTACAGAGTAGACACTGACAGCTTACCTTATAAGAGCACATCTTTTGAGGGTAAACACAGATTATGTTTAAGTTAAAGAATATGCATGCTTCCTATTTAGTAGGTCAGTAATTTCCATCATGAAGAACACAGTCACTTTTTCAAATCCAATCTATATTTCTCTCATGTCCTGTTACAATAAGCTATCACTCCATCATGGAAACCAGCACTATAACTGTACAGTATTGTCTGTTTCCTCCACTGCATTTTAATCTTCTAGCAGCAGCATTTCACAAGTAGAAAAAAATATTATATAGCAATGAAAATGTTAAAAAAGTAAACCTTACAGGGAAGGAAAGGATTCACTTGCAAGTCCACCTGTATGTTCAATAGAAAAAAAGTAAAATAATGTCTACTAACAGTTTACAATGCCTTAGAGATTTTCTTCTCTTATAACCAAGACTCTGCAATATTTAAAGGATAAGAATTTATGCCGATTTTTCATGTTGTTTTCTCCACAAAGTCTGTGGTAACACAGGCTACTAAACTTATGAAACCTAGCAGCAAACAGATGCACACAGATGAAAACAAACTAGAAGAAAAAAAGAGAAAAAACACTAAAGCAAGGAAGCACTACCACATTTACCAAAAACAGAGGGTTAAATGCATTTTTTTCCCCACTCTCAAACAGATCATTTAGTTGATTTTAATTCACAGCGAAAAGTGCTTAATTACCCTCATGTGAATAAAGTTCATCAATATAAGGTTTATTCAAATCAGTCTACCTTTTGGGTAGACAATCCAAAACAGAAGGAAGCCTGAATACTGCTCCTGGCATCCAGGCTGTAGCCTGGAATCTGTACTTCTGAAACAATATTCATTCATAGTTATTTTGGAAACACCCACTCATCTGAAGAACCTTAATTAAAAATTAATTAAAAACGCGGTATTAACCAACTCTATCAAATTATTCTTCAGAGATGACAAAGAAGAATTTTTTCACAAAGTCTGAAAAGAATATCAATATTCTGCGTGACAGTATATTTGACTTCAAAAAAATCCTGAAAATAACAAATCTTGAGGGAAACTCTCAGGAAAAGAACAGTAATTTGCCAAAAAGCATGTTGAACAAGGTCTTCCTTCTCTCCTCCATCCTCTCTTTAAAAATAAGAGAAGTAGTAGCCTTCCTGAGTGTTAAGGTAATTTGACCCTACACAAAAGGAAAGTTGGTATTAATATAGTGAGGAAAAAGCCAGCACCAATTGGTGTTCTCCTTTCTCCCATCTTTAGATATTACACATACATTTTTATTTGGTTTTACATTTTTACTTGGTTTTGGGTAACTTCTATCAACTCCCACATAAATTTTTTAATGATCATTAAAAGAACTAAGACAGCGATGCAAGACAAATGTTTCCACAAATACATTTTAAAGTTTCACTCATGATCTAAGATACCGTTCTTTACTGAGTTCTCTGCCAAAAAAAAGATATCATATTAACTATCACAGTATTAGAATATAAAAAAACAGACTGAAAACTAAAAGTTCAAGATAAATGATCTATAGTATATATATCTGTACACAATAATACTACAAGGCTGCATTTTACATTTGTGTCCCCATGATTTTTTTTTAAAGGAAAAATATTCAAGCAAAAAACAGTACTTTCCTCATGTAATTCTTATGCACACAACTCCACTGTTTTTTACAAAGAAAAATATTTAAATCGTATTAATTTGCTACAATGCCATAAGTACCGTTTCTTTAGATTGCCTTGGAGAGGGCTGAAGGAGAGCTGAAGGGATAAATCAGCATTTCATTTTATGACTACATTCTAAAATTCCTCGAGTTACTATGTCCCATTTGCTGACAAATTATGAAGATGTGCGCATTACTTACACATACAATTCAGCACAATACAAATATAAAAATGGTACTTTACCTGTCTTCATCTTTGAGGGGCTGTGGTAAGTGTCTGCTGCAGCATTCAAGCGCATCCCAAAAATTGCTGTCGTTTAAGTCATCATTTTGTTCTTGAGCTGTTGTGTCTCTCCTTAGGTCTGTGCTAGTGTTCTTTTGAGAATCTGTGTACTCTTCGGATTTGAGGAACATAGCAAAACTCAATTCTTCGTTGTCGTTTCTCCATGTACGCTTATCATAGCCTTGCTGGATTTTAGCAGTTTCACTTCCCCTATTAGAAGTGCTTTTGCTTTCTTCATCATCACCAGACAGATGAGTCTCTCTCTCCAACCGGCTTCTGGGATTTTGCTTTATTTTAGGTCTCACTACTAGCTCAGGTGGATTTCCTTGTTCAGCCTCGTCATCACTGAGGTTTAATTCATTATAAGTTGTTACAGGGGTACAAATTTCAGTATCTACTAGATTTATCTGTTGTGTTTCATGACTGTCACCAGTCACATTACTTTTTGGTATGGCTTGATCTTCGGTAGGGGATTTTTTAAGTGTTTTGTTGTTTGAATGGTTCATGTCTGAATCTGTGCTCAAATATCTTGTTAAAGGCACTGGTCTCACTTCCTTACAGCATTCTCTAGAAATTCTGCAGCTGAGAGTGGACAATTGGGACTCTAAGTCAGTGAAAGCCTCTATAGTTTTTCCTAACTCAGAAACTACGTCATCTAGTGCTTCCTGAAATACACCTGCTCCTTCTCTTCCCAAACATACCTGGTCTTGTCCATCATCATCTTCTCCATCACTGCTATCTGGCTCATAAGAATCGATGTTTACAAAAGCAATTCCATTGTGACCATTCAAATCATTAGACACTCCAGAAGCATGTTCAGTGACGTGTTCAGAATTTTTATCAGGATTCTGAATGTTCCCTGTGATTTGGTTGCCTTCCACTTCATAAGAAGCTAGAGAAACTGGTAAAGTGCTTGTCTCTAAAATTCGGCTCAAATTAGTCTGACAAACAGGTTCTCCAGTTGCAATATTTTTTAACAGTATCTCATCCCATAAACATGAAGGAAGTTGAACTAATGGCCTGGAACCTACACAGAAAGTTGCAAGAAAATACATTAGGAAAAAAAATACCAAAAACAATGGAGACATTCTCAATTATAAAATCTGCTCATGAAAAAGGTAGTTTACTGAGAATGTGATGCAATTTGATGATGCATTTAGCAGAGACATAGTCATCCTTCATTAATATATTTAGTCTTATTTCTATAAATTAAGCCTAAAAAAATTAAATGATACAATTTCAGCTCAGCATGCAACAGCAAAAGACAAATATTAAGGAAGCATGCTCACAAGCAGCATCCTTACATTGTTTAATTAAAATGGAATTTTAAGATGAGAACAGGAAACCTGAAATACACTAGAGGATTTAAGGAGCTGCAACATTTCTTTCCACATGCAAAAAAAATGAACTAACCATTCATTAACCAGCTGAATTGTGCCTCCTGCCACACTCAGATAAAGCCATTTATTGCTCCAATAAATTACATACTAATAACATTGTATTTTGTACATGCAGCTGTGAGTGCAACTCTTCATGAGAAGACAATAATAGCAGAGATGAACGTGGAATTTACAGATGGTAGTTACCATCACTGCAAATTCTGTTTGGTTATATTACACTTGAACAACTCTTGCATAAAAGGGACAATAAATATCAGACTCAGCGGCAAGGTAAAAGAAGGTAAAAATATGTTTGTTACTAGCACAACAAAATGAATGTTTATTTCAAGTCATCTGTAAGCTTCAAACTGTTTCTGGACATACAGTGGCTTGCATTACTTGATGCAAGTACTTAAAAATTTTAAGTTGGTATTAACAGACTTGAAAATTTAACTACAAGAGAAAAACACTGAAACATGCATAGCCTCATAGCCTCAGAACTTCTAAAGTAACATTTTCTCTCTCCTTTGTAGACTGTTTTCTAACTGCTGTCTCTTTTTTTTTTTTTTTTTTTTTAAAGTTAATACTATACTACTATCAAATTTATAATACACCATTGTTCCTGGACACTTAGGTGAAGTGAATCATCTCTGTATGGCTTTATTTTATTTGTAGCTCCACCTCTATGACACTACCACCTTTTTATTTCAGTTACTCAGACCTGTGCCAGCTCTTAATTTAGGAGTCATTAAAAATGTGCCTTTTAGACAGTATTATCTCCTTGTTTGTAATGATTGCTGTGCATGTAAATTCTAAGAGTGACTTGTTTTCTACATTAACAAACAACAAAATGCTTGTTTATTTGATCTCTTTTCCTATCACAGCTTTTCAGATTTCTTTGAGAAACATTTTGGATTGATTTATTTCTGTTTCGTGCCGGGTCACTGCTAACTAAAATGAGCTGCATATTTCTTTATTAATTGACCTGACACCTTAAATGCAACTAAGCAACCATGCAAGATTGGTAAAAGGGTATATTCTTGGGGATATTCAAAACCTGATTTGACACAGTCCTTGGTTACCTGCTTTAGGTCACTCTGCTTGGGCAGAGGTGCCTGGCAGCCTCAGGTGTTAAGCTGTTCTGTTTTCCCTTTTATTTTAAACCCTGGAATGGTTATTATTTTACATGATTTCCTACCTCTGCCTGTTCTTAACGTAGCATGTTATGGAGTCCTTACAATGCATTGTTTTAATGTTTTTCTCTGGTAGTTAAATTTCCAAGTCCATTAATACCAACTTAAATTTTTTAAGTACTTGCATCAGACAATTTAGCGAACACTAATGATATTCATTTGATATTCATTAAGCCAAAAAAAAAAAAAAAAAAGAAAATGGCCCAACTGGTATAAACAAAGGAGAGCTTTTTAAGGTGTCATACAGGCTTAAACTAATTCCAACATAACTTCTGCCTTCCCTTCCCCACCCCCAAGCACCTCAAGTTGCAGTTAAATGGAATATATACAGAGAGATGCACATACGTGAAGAAGTCTCTTCCTGAACATTGTTCAATCTCTTGTGTTCTCCACTGTGTTGGCATACACATCCATCTTGGCAATTCAAAGATGGCATAATGCTGATATAAGGACGTCTTGTTTCAGACCTTCTATCCATAATACCACCTACTGGTTTTGGCAACGCAGGTTTTCCAGCTTCTTGGCCCGCTGCTAGACAAGGTTATGGAGGAAGAAAAACAAAACCAAACAAAAGAAGAAACAAACAAGAAGACTGTGTCAGACAGCATTATCTTAAAGTTTTCTTCCTCCCCAGTTTGATTGTTTTTTCCTCTGTTTTAGCAAGGAATTTCCCGTTTCTCTTCACTGAAGTTTTGAAATTCACTAACATACGTTTTTTTTAAGAACTTAACATGCTCTGTGTATATATGAAAGCACATAACAGGATTCTGATCTACACTAAATATTGACAAGTACCAGTATTTCCCTCGTCTTAACATGCTTGAAGCAAGTAACAGACTTAACAAAAAAATGAAATTAAGTCCAGATACTACACGACCTCATTTTTCCTTTGGATGTGATACGCCTCTACACCATGATACATATGTCATCTTGCAAGACATTTCTGAGTGTTATAACAGAAGAGATTTCAGTTAATGCAGCACAATACAACTAGCACTAGCTGTCTTGTCCACATGACAGGAAAAGCACAAATAATCAAATTGCACCTTCTAGAAGAGAAGTCCAAGTGCATTACATAGTTCAGGCATGGCCATACAAGGCAACAGCCCATGATGTATGATTCCTGTTACCAAAGTAGTATTCCCTGTTTTTGGATCTTAATCTGTATTTCCTGCTAAAATTTTCAAGAGCTACACAAAAACTTGAAAAACAGTGGGGGAAAGCTGCCAATGTAAGGTGAGTTGCTAGTATAGCAGTAGTTATCAGCTATAGGTAATCTAACACAAAAGATTGTAATCCAAGGATGGTGCTTGTACATATGTAATTAGAAGTTCAGTATTTCAGATGTTCAATGGTTATCTCATGTCCTTCTGTGTCATTTTTTTAATCTTTACTACATATAGCGTTAACATAGTATCTCTTCCATTCTTGAAACTCAAACTGAAAAGGGCACATTACATTTAAGGAGAATAAAGTTTAAAGCTATTAACAAAGTCGTCCAAACTTCAGGGAAAAATATGAAAGCTTTATTTTTCCTGGCTGTTAAATTAAACTCTTGATTACTCTTAAAAAGAGAACATCTGTATGCAAAGACACTGTTGATTAGTGGTTGCTTTATGCAGCTTTCAGTAGCGTACTCACAAGTAAAGCTTGTACTTGCAATATGAAGACTACCCAAAAAATACAGCTGCACATGTACCAACTGTCCAAGACCTTAAGCTGTTGTTTTGTTGTTTAAATTAGCATCACCGTTGAAGTTGTCATTTTGCTAGTCTCAGATACAGGAAACTAACTTTGGTGCTGCCTACATAATGTAAATCATAAAAAATAAAATGCAAGGAAAAAATAATGAAGTATTTTTCCTGGGGCTGTACTTACAGAAAAATCACATAATCCCTTAAAAGCTTTAACTGAAGAAGCAAATAGAAGAAGACTACCTATTTATTATAAAGTACAGCTTCTAGTAGAAGCTACTGTCTTAAGAGGTTCAGACACAACCTCCTACAAGCATTTGTCTCTAATTGGCTGCACAACAATTCAGAAAACATTTCCTAGCAATCTGAACTTCAAAGATTTGTGAAGAAAGTTGAAACATTTTGCGTGATCTTCCCTACAGGAAAAATAATTAAAAAAAATAATAAAAAAAAAAAGAGACAAATCTAAGTAACTACTGTGAGGTTGACAAAGATTACATAGCAACCTGGTCTATGATACGTCAAATGCTTCACAGTCTAGTTCTACTGAAAGGTTAAAATAGGAATTCCCTTCCAAATGACATTTTCTACAAAGGATTAATTTGCCTCAAAGACAAAATAATTGGAATTCTGTAGCATTATGATTATATAATTGGTTAGCATGCATTAACTCAATGAGGAATGCACTTCTAGCAAAATTAAAATGCAAAACAGATAATACTTCGATATGCCTTCATGTTAAGTTTCCTTCTCTGAAAACATTTAAATAGTAGTTTATACATATTACTATGTGGCTACTCTCTTCCCTTCTCCACATTTTCCTGTGCACCTTCCCTTTCCCACCCCCAAGCACCTCAAGTTGCGGTTAAATGGAATATATACAGAGAGATGCACATACGTGAAGAAGTCTCTTCCTGAACATTGTTCAATCTCTTGTGTTCTCCACTGTGTTGGCATACACATCCATCTTGGCAATTCAAAGATGGCATAATGCTGATATAAGGACGTCTTGTTTCAGACCTTCTATCCATAATACCACCTACTGGTTTTGGCAACGCAGGTTTTCCAGCTTCTTGGCCCACTGCTAGACAAGGTTATGGAGGAAGAAAAAAAACAAACAAAAGAAGAAACAAACAAGAAGACTGTGTCAGACAGCATTATCTTAAAGTTTTCTTCCTCCCCAGTTTGATTGTTTTTTTCCTCTATTTTAGCAAGGAATTTCCCCTTTCTCTTCACTGAAGTTTTGAAATTCACTAACATACGTTTTTTTTAAGAACTTAACATGCTCTGTGTATATATGAAAGCACATAACAGGATTCTGATCTACACTAAATATTGACAAGTACCAGTATTTCCCTCGTCTTAACATGCTTGAAGCAAGTAACAGACTTAACAAAAAAATGAAATTAAGTCCAGATACTACACGACCTCATTTTTCCTTTGGATGTGATATGCCTCTACACCATGATACATATGTCATCTTGCAAGACATTTCTGAGTGTTATAACAGAAGAGATTTCAGTTACTGCAGCACAATACAACTAGCACTAGCTGTCTTGTCCACGTGACAGGAAAAGCACAAATAATCAAATTGCACCTTCTAGAAGAGAAGTCCAAGTGCATTACATAGTTCAGGCATGGCCATACAAGGCAACAGCCCATGTATGATTCCTGTTATTACCACACTACTTCAACTGGTTGAAACAACAACAAAAAAGTGTAAACACAGTGACACTACTTAATTGTTAGTTTGTTAGAGTTTGTTCTCTAAAACATCAGTATTCTTCATGAACAGATGTCCACCCAAGAGAGTCAAACTCTTGGAATGCAACTCTTTATTTTTTATTTTTAAAAATTGAATGCCTTCAATTAGAAGGCTTAATGCCTTCTTCGCCTCAGTCTTTAGCGGCAATACGGGTTGTTGTCTGGATACCCGGTACCCTGAGCTGGTGGAAGGGGATGTGGCCCTCACTATCCACGAAGAAATGTTTGGTGACCTGGTACGGCACTTGGATGTGCACAAGTCAATGGGGCCAGATGGGATCCACCCAAGGGTACTGAGAGAACTGGCAGAGGAGCTGGCCAAGCCGCTTACCATCATTTATCAACAGTCCTGGCTATCGGGGGAGGTCCCAGTTAACTGGCAGCTAGCAAACGTGACACCCATCTACAAGAAGGGCCGGAGGGCAGACCCGGGAAACTACAGGCCTGTCAGTTTGACCTCAGTGCCAGGGAAGCTCATGGAGCAGATTCTCTTGAGAGTCATCATGCAGCACTTGCAGGGCAAGCAGGCGATCAGGCCCAGTCAGCATGGGTTTATGAAAGGCAGGTCCTGCTTGACGAACCTGATCTCCTTCTATGACCAAGCGACGTGCTGGGTGGACGAGGGAAAGGCTGTGGATGTGGTCTACCTTGACTTCAGCAAGGCTTTTGACACCGTTTCCCACAGCATTCTCAAGAAACTGGCTGCTCTTGGCTTGGACTGGCGCACGCTTCGTTGGGTTAGAAACTGGCTGGATAGCCGGGCCCAAAGAGTCGTGGTAAATGGAGTCAAGTCCAGTTGGAGGCCAGTCACTAGTGGCGTCCCCCAGGGCTCGGTGCTGGGGCCGGTCCTCTTTAATATCTTCATCGATGATCTGGACGAGGGCATTGAGTGCACCCTCAGTAAGTTTGCAGATGACACCAAGCTAGGTGCGTGTGTCGATCTGCTCGAGGGTAGGAAGGCTCTGCAGGAGGATCTGGATAGGCTGCACCAATGGGCTGAGGTCAACTGCATGAAGTTCAACAAGGCCAAGTGCCGGGTCCTCCACCTGGGATGCAATAACCCCAAGTAGAGCTACAGGCTGGGAGATGAGTGGTTGGAAAGCTGCCAGGCAGAGAAGGACCTGGGACTGATGGTGGACAGTCAGCTGAATATGAGCCAGCAGTGTGCTCAGGTGGCCAAGAAGGCCAACGGCATCCTGGCTTGTATCAGAAACAGTGTGACCAGCAGGGCTAGGGAGGTGATCGTCCCCCTGTACTTGGCTCTGGTGTGGCCGCACCTCGAGTACTGTGTTCAGTTTTGGGCCCCTTGCTACAAGAAGGACATCGAGGTGCTTGAGCGGGTTCAGAGAAGGGCGACGAAGCTGCTGAGGGGTCTGGAGAACAAGTCCTACGAGGAGCGGCTGAGGGAGCTGGGCTTGTTCAGCCTGGAGAAGAGGAGGCTCAGGGGCGACCTTATTGCTCTCTACAGGTACCTCAAAGGAGGCTGTAGTGAGGTGGGGGTTGGCCTGTTCTCCCACGTGCCTGGTGACAGGACGAGGGGGAATGGGCTTAAGTTGCACCAGGGGAGTTTTAGGTTGGATGTTAGGAAGAACTTCTTTACCGAAAGGGTTGTTAGACTTTGGAACAGGCTGCCCAGGGAAGTGGTGGAGTCACCATCCCTGGAAGTCTTTAAAAGACATTTAGATGTAGAGCTTAGGGATATGGTTTAGTGGGGACTGTTAGTGTTAGCTCAGAGGTTGGACTCGATGATCTTGAGGTCTCTTCCAACCTAGAAATTCTGTGATTCTGTGATTGATGTTCACAGCAAGTAAAACCTTTAAAGCTGGATGCAATGCCTTTTTTTTTCCCCAAGTAATTCCTCCATATGCAGAATATATATCTTGTATTCAGTTGTTCTTAAAAGATACATCATGCAGCTATTCTGTCCTGAAAGAGGTTTATTAGATCAAAATAGTGAAAGCTTTCACCTTTTACTGCATGTTTGGATTTCACATTTGGATTAAGGCAAGAGGAAAGATCTACCTAGTTAACAATATAAGGAACCTACATGCCTCAAACGGGCAGCATTTAGGCATCTAAATCTATACACCTGTCTGCAAGCAATCCTTCGCACAGTCAAGTTCCTTGCAACACGTAATAAATTTTCTCAGTTTCTTCCCCCAGCTAAGCCAACCATAGAAGTGGCCATTGCTCTACCTGGCAGACAAAGCTCAGTTTTCTAGGCCTGTTCAAAACACATTCAACTGCTGCTGACTAGACAGAGTTCTGCAAAAGCGAACTCTTGGATATATCTTCATAATACCCAAGGCAAGGATGAGAGGATGTGCTTCTCTTCTGATGCCACAAACCAGTGATTAAGTAATTGAGGCATGTGAAACAGGCTAAAGACATTAATTACATGTCAAGCTAAAGATGTTTATACCCATACCTCCATTGTTTCAGAAGGATACTACTGTCACCTGAACTCCTCAAAGGCTCATTAACAGCAGTTATTAAGCATAGAAGTTTAAAATTATTGGATATGGATTTAAGGAAGACACAGAACCCAGGAGAGTGGTTCCCAAAATGCACAATGAAAAGCTCAGATTGCGGAAAGCAATGACTTCGTTAACGTCTGAAACATCACCTGGTTACACTTCTGTGGGTAGTTAGGGTCTGGCGGCCAGAAGATGTGGCGCTGTACGGAAAGGTGGAGTCCCTCCCTTGATGGACAGTAGCGCGTGGTCTGTGATGTAAGCAAGCAGAAGTGACGGCTATGGGCCTCGGGTGTATAACGCCATGTGACTCGACAATAAATGCCATTTGCCATCCACCACATTGGTGTCTGTGAGCCGATGGACCGAGCGGCCTGGGGTTGGTCGCCGTGCCGTCCCTGAACCAGGTCGCCACTGCCCCCTGAAGGCAACACACCTCCAAACAGACTGACCAATTTAGGTCTCCAGGAACCCAGTAGTGTAAAGGATCCCTTCTGCAAATATGAACCATGTATTTGTTCCTCCACTGTGGGCCTAACTTTGGAAATACAGTACAGGCGATTAAAGATATCTGAATGTTTGTTTGTGAAGAAAACAGATGCTTTTTGTCACCTTGTCCACTTGAATGACAAAAATTATTCAGCATTTAACGTTATTTAGAGAGCTAATGAAAACACTACCTACATCAAGTTTATATTTTTTGAACTCCAAGAACACAGCAAATAATTAATTGTGAAGAGCCCTGCGAAGTCATTTAAACTAAACTCTTAGCTTAGAAGCACGCACGCACACTTGGTGCCAACGTGTTTGTACCTAATGGGCACTACAAGCCTGACTATCAATTTTGATATAAGCAGGATCGATGCTAGTGACAGTAAAATAACAACACCGGGTGGCAATGTGATCCTATGCGCATGCAGTACCAGAATTAGGTTCTCACACTTCTGAGACGCTTCCCTCAGTGTCTGCTCTGTGTGCCCTCACAGATGGCCCTCCCCACGCTCCCTGCAACAGGGCCTGCTGTATGGCCTTTCAGCTCCAGCAGCAGGAGGGTAAAGAGGTCAGAGCCAGACTGAGCTTATCCTTCTCTCTTCAATAACTGCGGATGGACAATAAGAGCTGCAGCACACAGGCAGGCATCTGGAAACAGGCAAAGAGAGGAAGGCTGGGCATTACTGGGGCAGAAAGGGAAGAGATGGACTCAGGTCCAGCACACCCTTACACTGCACCAAGGTCCCAGTTTCCAAGGAGTATTAAATCAGATAGAGCACCAAGATTGTTCTTTGGGAAAACAGAGGAACAGACGGAAGGAAAAGGAGACATCCAAAACTATACCATTTCCTAGAGATTTAATAGCATGGTAATGCTTGGTGATCATGGATGAAGCACATTCCTAACCATATGTATTTTAGGCAAAAGTAATCAACGATTTAGATGACAGAAATCCTAAAATGCTGTTTCAGAAAAAAAGCTTTTTATGTCAACAGCAGAGGTCTACAGATGAATTTGAGGAAGGCTTAACACTCCTATTTTTTTCTTGCTGACGAATACAATTTGTCTTAGAAAGCATAATACCATACAATAGACTATGTTAACAGAGCAGGCATCCCTTGGAATTTCCTAAGAAGGTAATAAATATATGAACAAAACCAAATACTACTAGCAAACAAAAAGAAGTTATCCCCCACACACACATACTTTAAAATGAAAGACTCCTAGAAGAAAGGCCACTGCAAAATATTCTCATACTGATCTGAATCACTTTGCAAATAGCAAAATAGAGGGAAAGAACACCAATGAGATGTTTCAATTGATAGTGGCTTCTTTACACTTTAATACTAAATACAGTTTCCATTTAGGATTTCTCTGAAAATGTTCAGTTTTATATACTCATTTTTGTGCCGTAAGTGCAAAATTTATTTTCTGATATATTGCAGTCCATTAAGGCATAATCATACAAATAGTTCTATTTCTGCATTAGTCAATAGGCACACTAAAAGAAGATGGTTAATATCTGGGGCATTGACTGCATACCCTTAATATCAATTAATGATGTATATGCTGATACTCAGCATATACAATCACAACTCTATCCAAATTGTAGAAAAGTTTGCCAAAGTTCTTTAAGGGGAACAGGCGCTGGTACTGCACAAGTAACAGTGAATTCAAATATATGCAGGAAACTCTAAATGGTTGCTTTGAACAAAATGCTTTAAATATAGCCACAGGGCAATTGGTATTTAGTTAAGATGCAAAAGGGAGAAACACAGAACTAGTTCAAGTCCAGAACTCCCTTTGCAAGTGGATCCCAGTCACCACCTCCCATGTAGAATGGGTCTGAGTCAGAACTGGTGAGCTGCTACAAACCAGCATCTTGACACAGCCCCTTTCTATCCCTAGACATTCTCCTAAAGCTGAAGATCCTGCATGACTCCTAAGCTTCACCCAGGCTTTTCCAGCCAACATGGGTGCAGAGAATCCCCTGCACCGCTCTCTGTTCACTGCAGACAAGCTGCCAGGGTCAGGCAGGCTTGTTCTGATGCTGCTTCAGATGTGGTTACCATAGCTGGCTGCCAAGCTGTAAATTGGACCAACTGAACTTACTAAGCTTCACCAAATCCCCCCTCATTAAGGTCTTTTTTTTTTTCCATTTTTTTATGCTTAGATGACAGTTGCATCAGCACAGCTGCCGTGACAGAACAGAGCGAGAAGCAAACAGCCAGAAGCAGGAATCACCGGCAAACCACAAACACTGCTACCAAATTCCTGCATCCCTTAGCCATCAACTCTCCACTGAGTACTGATCTGTAACCATTCCAGCACTGATTTTTCCACTGTCCTCCTACCAGTTAGCTGGTCCAAACATGTGCAACTTCTGCATTATGCCTGGTTTCTTCACACTCCCTTGCTCATATTTTAGCCCCACTCACTTTACTTTCTTGTAAAGTGAGACAGAACTGAAAATAGTCTGAACGCATCACTTTCCTCTGCCTTGACTTTGACTCAACTCTGACTTTGGTAGGACATGCAAATCTGTCCTACCAACTGCCAGCTCTGGCTTACCATAATAATTGCTTTTCCAGTTTTTATCCCGAGGAATAGCTTCAGCAGAAATTCTACATTAAAACTCAACTCAAGAGACAGGAAAGATTAAGGAACTGAAGCACTAAAAGCTTTTAAAGATAAGGATGGTGTATGTATCGCATGCACTAACCAATTAAGAACAAGTCCCACCCTGCCTTACAAAATGAGCATTACAGCTTCAAAAATAAGAAGCCTAGCTTTGGCAGCAACCCCTGCAGTGATGTGTACAGTGGTTTAACAACTGATGGGCAGATCAGCTCCACCACACCGCTGTCTCACTCCCCCTTCTCAGGACAGGGTGAGAAAATACGATGGCAAAAAACAAAACACAACAAAACAACTCATGGTTAAGATCAGGAGCGGTCTAATCAGAGGAAAAGAAAAGCAAAGACTGTGCAGAAGAAAAAGGAGAAATCAATTACTCTCTCCTTTCCAACAAGGAGTAAATTTTGTCCATGTCTCGGGAAGGAGGGCCTCAATGTGTCGCAGTTGCATGGGGGGACAGGCGCTTCCCTAACAAGAGCCCCTTCCCCAAATGTTGCTTTGGGAAGTTTGGGCCAGCTGCCTTGGTGCCTGCCCCCCTCGGGCTGCCCACCCCATCCTGCTGGCTCTGTAGGGCTGGGGGCCAGCCCTGGTGCTGTGCCAGCTCTGCCCCACTGCAGACAAAACAACTGGGGCCTGGGGCCGCAGGTGCAGGGCACAGCGCTGCGTGGGATGCTGCGGGACGGCGAGCTCCATCCCAGCCACCTGCCAAACCCGTGCGTCTCTCCTCCCTTCCTTTCCCAGCACTGCAATCTTCACACGCTGAACGTGTACCAAAATAACGGTGTGGAAGGAGTTCTCATCTCCTGTTTTTAATTTGATATCCAGAAATTCACTCCTTTTTTTTCAGACCGCCAGCACACGGTTTATCTCCTTTTCTCTCACACTCAGAATTACTTGTGCACTAAGCGAACACCACCAAAGCCTTCCCCCACCCCAATCCATCCTCTTTTCCCTTTGCCTCTGACTTTCATACTGTGATTTTCAATTTCAGTTCCAATTACAAACTTTTGAGATGAGGATGTGTCTCTTTAGAGCTGAAAAGGCCACAAATAGAAGCCAGAACTAAACAAAGTGTCAAAAACTTTTTGAACAGTTTAAGCAGAGAAGGTTCAGGTTTATGTTTTGTCAGCGTAGGTAACCTCAACATACTTTAAGAAGTTGGAACAGTCACTTCCCCTCTCCCTGGCAAACACAGCAAAAAGGAGATGACAACAGAATCACAGGGTGGAAGTTCAAGTGCTCGAAACTCTTCGGAGTGATACAAGTCAGCAGCAGATCATGCCCAAAGATGTATTTTTCCATTGTCATCTCTCTCATCTTACATAACTGCCTCTATTAAATTCAAGTTAACCCAAAGCCAAATGAACCCTCATCTGCTACAAGAAGTACTGAAAGCAGTTTTCAGAAGTGTTTTTTTTTGCTTGTTTTTTGTTTTTTCCCCAAAGAGCAGTGAAAACTCACTGTTTTGAACAACATTTTCCTTTCACAAGCAGTACTGTGTTCCTTGGATACAGGGCTAACAAAAGCCTCTGATTCAGCTGACAGACAGGAGAGCTCTCCTGAAGTTGGTTGGGCCTTTCAGATTTTTGAAGTTCAGAAGTATAATGTGAAGTGATCCTAATGCACCTGGGGAGAGATTGAGAAAAAGAGAAAAGCAGGACATTGCTGTCAGGTGGGGTTAAGCAATGGAGCAAACTGCCAAAGCAAGAATAATGGGTGATGTGCAGCTCCACAGGACTGCAGAGGCCCACATGTTACACCAGTCAATACTCCTGCTCCGTCGCAGCAAACAGCAACGAAGTTTATTAGGTATTAGAGTGAGGGCTGCAAGGCATGCAAAGCAATCCTTCTGTGCTGATCAGTGTTAAAACTGGATCTAGCGTTCTGCAAAGAGCTTTAAACACCATACCTGCCCATACACACACAGAGGGGAAAAAAAAAAAAAAAAAAAAAGAAGTTGGTCTTAAATTGCAGCAAGGAAGACTTCCCTGACATTCAGAAACAACACAAGCGACAAAAGGGAAATGTTTCTACCTGCAGTAACACCATACGGCTTAGAGGGATTGCAGGGGGGGAAGGGGGGGATGAAGATTGTCATGCTGCAGCCCAGAGAGCAGGGCTCATACAAACACCCAGCGCTGGCAGAGCAGAGCGGCTGGGCTGGACCTTCCTGAGGTCCCCCCCACTCCCACGGCCCTAACACCCCCCAGGAGAGCCCACCTGAACTCCAGATGCATATGCTACAAGAGCATAGAAATGGGGTTCACGTCATCCCTTACTATAGCAGAGAGGGAAAAATCTCCTGCACATCTTTTCATTTTACTTCTCACAAACTTCTGAAGTGCTCTATGAGACGGCAACAATTACACTGGGTATGGTACAAATACTTGGTTTTCTTGTTGTCTCCTTTTAAAAAACAATCGCCTTTCACCGAAAGCCTCTTATGCCAGTCTTAGAGACACGTTATAGATTTAGTAGCTAGGAGTCAATTTTTAAGAGTCAAAAAAATTACTGTTGCAGACTCCTGACTGGAAGAACCGCTTAAAATTCATACCTGGCCAGTTTTCTGAAGCTGCTACCAAGCTACAAATATCTTGCTCACCAAACATTTGATGGAGAATTGCCTGTTTATGATGCAATGTCAACCACAGAGGCATTAAAACAAAAGGTTTATTTGGGCTTTTGCTGATGTTTAGAAACCATTCGAGTTATGGAAACTTGATTATTTCAGGTTTATTTAACCTCTGACACTAAGCTGATGGGGAAGGACATTTTGGTGTAGCTGATTACCACTAATCTCCTGAGCAATCATCCGCAGTCCACCATCAGCATCAGATGCGTTTCTCTGTACTTTGCTTTTCTATGTTATCAAGTAGTTACGTCATTTTATATTCAATCAGTTAACACCTTGGATTTTTTCTTCCTGCACAGCATCTAGCACAAAGATGTTGCAGCAATACATGAAAACCAGAGTGGATTTTAGCAGCTAAAACACCAGAGACTTTTCAGACCACTTTTTAATAATTTTAAATACCTATGAAAGAACACAAGTATGTGCCAGTTGGAATTCTTTCCGCTTCCATAGTCACGCACTTGGCTACCTGAAACACTGCATAATGGTACCAAAATATCACGCTTGAAATTAATCAGATTGGAAAAGCTGTTTCAAAACAACTGCTCAGAACATTAAATACTATTGGCAGCAGGATCTCCAAACATCTTCCTCCACGGTGACACAAGCTTCGAGGAATTCGTGTGCCCACTCTGCTGTCCTTACAGATTATTCCACTCATCGGTACAAGCTTGTTAATAATTACCTCTGTTTCCAGTATAAATAACTTACAACCTGCTCCACAGGTACCACAGAAACAGCCAAGCAGACTGGCCTTTGAGGGAGCAGAAGTTTGACAGCTCAGGAAGCGCCCCTGTACTAAACAAGTACAGCGTTACTCCGAGCACTTCAGGATGTTCCTGTCAAACACAGCATTAAGGGCGATTCATGCCAGCTGGGGCACACAGGCCCAAACCCCAAACACTGTCAGAAAGCCCCACGCGGAGCTCACGCCTGCAGGTGTCTTAGGGACATGCAGAGCATCGCTCCCCCACCAATGCTCTGAGCAAGCACTGCCCTCCCCCAGCCATGTGGATTTATATTTAGGACACGTTCAAAGGCTTTTGTATAATATCTTGAAACAACGCTAAAATGAACTGAGTTTTTAAGGTGTTTGTATCAGTTTCAGGTGACAAACACAACCGGGACCTGCCCAAACACACCACTGAGTGTGTAAGCAGCAGGCTGCCGAGGCCTCCCTACAGCACTGTAGTGAGCTCTGCCCGAGTTTTACAGCCCCATCCACAGCAGCGCAGAGGGCTCGCTAACACACCAGCGAATGCATCAATTTGCTCGCTGTGCTTTGCCCAGAGCACTGCTCAGAAGCACTGTGATGAGAACCTGAGCGGCAAATTTCACGCCTGCCGCCCCGAGTGCGTGCACAACCCCAGAGAGCCCAGCTGGCAGCCCGGCCGTACTCACACCCAGGCAGCCTGTCCCCACGGCGCCCCTCTCACAGCCGCATCGCCCCGGCGCAGTGTGACGCTGGCACTGCTGCTGCTGCTGCCGCGGGGCACGGGGACACTTCCCCAGCACCCGTCCCGGAGCCGCCACCGCCGCCGCGGGCGCGCCACCAGCCCTACCCCTACGGGCGGCCGGCGGCAGCCAATGGCAGGCCAGGGAGAAGGCGCAGTGGCCAATCAGAGGCGGGGGGCGGGACCTAGGAGCGGGTATGTGGGAAGGGGCGGTGTGAGCCCGGCCGGCCGCGGGGCCGGGGGCGGGGCGGGGCGGGGAGGGGCGGGGCTGGGTACCCCGGTGCACTTTAGCTCATTATAATATCATTGTAATACCAAAACACACCTCCATCCCAAAAGCTACCCGCCTCCAAGGTGCGACCACCCCTCACTGAGCATGCGCCCTGAACTTCTAGAAGCCTATTACTTTAAACGGAGATGGGGGAAATTTTCACCAATCATAGCTAAAGATATGCTTGAGCAGAGTCACTCACGCTCCACCTAAAAGACAGAAAATAATATAAATTGGCCTAAGAGAGAGGGGATGTTGGGGGGGATACCACCATCAGGGCATTCAGGTGATATATGAAAGAGATGAATTCAGGAAATCCCCAATGTTAGCTCCTATTGACCCGGGTCAATTAACCTCTGTCATCCGTGGACTCCCTGATTATCTTAAGATGTTTGTAGCGAATATGCAGGATTGCATACTAGCTGCTCGTAGGGATGATGATCGTGGTCATAGGTGGAATCCAAACTCCCCCATTCCCACCTGGAGTGAATTTGTACAAGGCATAGACAAGTACAGACACTCAATGGGCTGGATAAGTTCATCTAGTATTAAGTCCCAAGACCACTCTTGGTGAGTCTACCAAATCCACACTCGGAATCCCAGAAACCCCAAATTCAAAGAGGTTCAAACCTAATAGGGAACAGGGTGAATTGTAGCATAAGGCCCTAGCTTTGGGTGTACTCCGACCATTCTTGTGTGGTGCCTCTATGGAGGACCTCCGTACATTAGTCCAACTTCTGAGTAAGAAAAATATTCCAGCTGGGGAGAATCGCCTAACCAGAAAACCCCCAGCCCTTAAGGAAACTGCAACTTCTGCACCAAGCCCAACTGAGGAGGCAGAAGCTCAGCAAAAAAAAACCCTCCTATCCCTGGGGAGGGCAGTGAGCCACCCTGCTAGGCAGGTATTAGCAATTCAATGGCTTTCTTATGAACACTCCGACCCTATCATTGCCATTCCCTTTGGACCCCCAAAAATATTGGTAATTTTTCTTATTGTCACACAGGACCCAAATGTCAGTAGTTACACGTGAGACAGGACAAACCCTGAGCATAACACCTGATCAACACAGGGTTAAATTCACAGGGATCGATGGTGTGGAAAAACAATGCCCCACTGCAAAAATTTCACTCTGGCTGCCAGAGGAATGAAAATTAACAAGGGTAGAAGTATTAGTTGGTGCTGCATATACTAATATTTTAGGATTTGACATGCTGCGTGGCTGTATGTGGAAACTCCCTGATGGAACTGTGTGGAGTTTCATGACACATCAAAGGGATTCAGGCGCAGTGAGACTGAGTCTGTTACAAACATCCATACTCTTATCCCCTGCTAAAATCATTAATGGTCGGCAATATCTGTTGTCAGCAGCAGCACTTACGGGGATTGACAGGGTGGTAACAGAATTGGAAGAACGAGGCATTATTAAAAGGACCCACTCACCTTACAATTCACCAGTGTGGCCGGTAAAGAAACCAACCAGGCAATGGCATTTTACGGTGGATTACAGACAGCTGAATGCTAACACTACACCTTTGACTGCCGCAGTTCAAACATGGCAGAGATAGTGAAAACCTTCTGTGCATCTAATGGTAGCAATGGAGCTAACTACTCCCAAATATCTCTGCACATGGGAAGTCAAAGATTGCTATTTCACCCTCTATCTAACCCTGCTGGTTGAATACAACCAAGCATATTTTATTTTCTTTTGTGTTCACAGGAATCCTGAGTGAACTGTGTATGGACAGCTGGAGGATGACGAATCAACAGTTTGGATTACTAATGCTATGCTTTACCCTGACCTTAATGCAATTACAGACCTTAAAGGAAACTTAGCTACTGGGGTTGTGCATGGAGCTGAGGTGTTTCACCGTGGCATCTAACCAGGCATTATCACGGTATAGCGCAATTGGAACACCTCGGAACAAAAAGGATCCAAATCTCTCTGCTTTAGTTTTACATGGGGATAAAGTATTTTCAAAAGATGAATGGAGTTGGAATGGTTCCCTAAGAATGGCTGAACTTCAAGCCATGTCTGGCCAGACAATACAAATTGGTTGCTGAATAACTAACGGATCCACTTACAATAGGCCGACTGAAATTAGGACAGTTCATGCAGATTCTACCAGATCACAACGTTATAGTACTGATTGTACCAAAATAACTGAACCAAATTTTGATTGCTGGTACAATTTTACTTTCACTAAACCTGTAATTGTGTACTTTGGGGTTACAGAGGCACAGAGTTACTATCTGAATTTATGGGTAATACAGAAACATCATCGACTGCAAAGAATTAGAAGCCTCTGCCCCCGCAGATATTTGAAAATGAACCAACTCGGCCTCCCATTGGTCTAAGTCCTTCCATCTTCAACCCTGGTCCTCACATAATTAAAAATGTGGGACAACAACAAGTCCTCTTTAACCCTAGCTGATCTTTAAAAAGGGTAGATGCAATTGTGTTGTTGGGAATAGGATTAGGTATATTAAATGGCATTGATGCTGAGGTCCTAATGAGTAGAATAACTGCTACTACAGATGACCTAAGGAAATTGGAAAAACCAATACAAATTGAAAAAAATGATCATCAATTAATTGTAAATTCCCTTGGAAAAACTCAAGGCAATACCTCCCTTGCCTTGAGCTGCATCCAAGTGCAGTTATGGATACAATCTGTAGCAGCAGCTATCATTAGAGAAGGAGAAACTTTGCCCACTGAAAATCGAAAACTGATTTGGGATAATGCTTCAGAATTTGAAAAGGAGTTTCAAGCATGGTGGCAATTAGTCAATTTTACCTATTATGCAGAAAATGGTAAAATTGTTGCCTTTATACTTAGTATAAGCAATGCCACCATATACGATGTATATCCAATCATTGCAGTAGGACTCAATTGTAATGGAACTATACTTTATCCTGAGCAGCATAAAGTATGGGCCCATCAAAAGGGAGGAAAGTGGCAAACAATTGCATGTATTGTGTGTGAACAAAAAGGCTTCATCTGTGAGAGTAACACACCCAAGACATTTGTCTTGACACTGAACAAAGTATTTGCCACTTTGAGATACATCCTAATGAAACCCTTGAAACTGTACTTCTATATATTGGGAAATGCTGTGTTTGCATGAGAACCCATTGTGATTCTATAGTCATAGATAATACTATTGTAAATACAAGTGATCACTCTAATAATTGTGTTGTTTTTTTTTTTTTGTGTGTATTTTTTTTTGTAATTTTTGTGTAATTTTACCAAAATTCTAGGATGTGGTTTTAGTTACACAGCTCCTGTCACCTTTCATCAATTTATTGTGTCCAATTATATTCTGCTTCATGATCTGCTGCCTACTTTTACTGGAATGAACCTCACCTTACTGAAAAAATTGCTGGTGCATGAGGACTTGAAGCGGCTGATGACACAAGTTTGAGAAAACGGACAAAAGACTCTGATTACTGTCCATCATGATGTACAAGAAATACACAGAGTGATGGAAAGAGTGAAGAGAGATGAAAGACACAGTTGGTGGGACACTTTGTTTGGATGGTCACCAGCTTCCACAGGAATCTTCAACAAGATGCTTCACCCTGTTGTTGTTCTGTTTACACTCACTGTATTATGCTTTATACTGACAATTAGTTTGTACGTTAAAATTTGGTTTATGGTGAAACGTTTAGCATCCCTACACAATGTACATACACTTGATAAAACTCATTCTGAGAATGTACGTGATATCCCCGACATATTCCAGATGTCATAAAGCTTGAGTGACTATAGTCACAGGGTAGATTAAACGGAGATGGGAGAACTTTTCACCAATCATAGCTAAGATATGCTTGAGCAGAGTCACTCAAGCTCCACCTAAACGATAGAAAATAATATAAATCGGCCTAAGAGAGAGGGAATGTCAGGGAAGATACCATCATTAGGGAAGATACCACCACCAGGAGAGATACCATCCCAAGGAAATATACCATCCCAAGGACCTCCTGACCCCTGGAATCAGTCGACGGGCTGAGCCTCTCTTCCCCCCAAACTGGGACACCTTTGGGTGAGATCTGAACACTTGGTTATACCGTGTGTCTCCACGGAAACTTAGAAATCTCTATAGAGTCTTTGTGCCTTTTAATACATTAATCTCCAGGCTGCACACCTGTGTCACCTGTGTATTTCATGCATGCTAGCTTGCTTTTGCAGACAGTCACTATTGCCGGCAATCCAAAGAACCTGTGTACCTGTTGCTGTAATAAATTGCACTGGATTGCATTGTTCATAGTTGTGACGGTTCTCATCAAACGCAACTAAAGGGTGGTTATATGTTATTGGTGAATCCGTGACCATGGTAGTTCAGTGCTCTGAATCCAACCAGCCCCCTAATGGTTAATGTGTTATTGGTGAATCTGTGATTGTGATAGCTCAGTACCCTGAATCCAGCTGGGCCCATAACGCTTAATCGGCTACACCCCTTAATGCAACAAACCAGAAGGCAGTCCTGAGGGGCAAAGGAGTCCAGGAAGGCTGAACACGCTTCAAGAAAGAAACTCTAAAGGCACAGGAGCAGGCCTTCCCCACATGGCAAAAGATGAGCCAGAGTGGAAGAAGAGTGGCCTGGCTGAACAGAGTTCAAGACCATTATGAAAGTGTACTGATAAGTATGTATGTAGACAGATTGATAGACAGACAGGCCAAACTCAGGTGTGTTGAGGCAATGTGAATTCCTGAGAAAGATCAAGATAGGCTAGTGTTTGTAGACTGCCTCTACAACCAGTAGAGCCTAGATGCCTCAGCAGCAGAGGATACAGATCTTCAAGTTAGGCTCATGTTGCAAATTACCCTCTTACAGAGC